ACAGGGCAAAGGGCAGGGGTGTTCTCAGCCAGGGGGGAGGGGGAGGGTGTCTGCAGAGCACCCCGAGGGCAGCCAGGGAGTGGAGCCCAGACGTTCGGGCTCCCTGCTCCCCCCACAAACCCACAGCTCCCAATGTTTGGAGCATCCAGCCGCCCCCAACAAAGGTGCTACCCAGGGGCCCCAGGACAGATGGACAGGCATGGGGTCTGGGGATGAATGGACAGAGACAGGGTCCGGGGATGGACAGCCAGATGGACAAGGGGTTGGGGGCAGGGGTGGACAGCCGGACAGCCTGGCCCTGCCATGGCCCCAGGGGGAGTTCCTCTGCGCTGACCCTGTCGTCGATGGTGGTGACCCCCGCATCCCGGGCCCCGATCCTGGCCTAGGAGCCAGCCCAAGCAGTGGGGGGCTCAGATAGGCCCTATCCTGCAATGAAGGGCTGATCCTGGGGAGGCATTTGCCCCCTAGCAAGGCTGGGGCAAGTGCCACCCCACTTCCCACCTCCACTTGTTATGCCGGTGGGTTTCATGGGGGTCCGTGCAAATCCCTCCCATGCCAGCACAGTTCCCCATCTCTGGCGGCCGTGTGTTTGCCCAGACCCGGCTGCTGCCTCCTGGCCCTTATTTACATGGATTAGCCGGAGCGGCCGCCAATTTGTTCTAATTCATTATTAATCAGCCCCTCGCCCGCGCCCGCACTGTTGACTCAGGGCGGGCGGCGGCGCTGCCAGCCGGGCTGGGGTGGCGGGGGCTGCGACTTTAATTACTTGGCTTCCCTTGTTGCTCCCCGGGTCAGGGTGGGTGGGGGGTTGGGGGCCGCAGTCCCCCCAGGAGCGGGCCAGGGCCTGGCTCTGGTGGGTGCGTGGGTGGGCTCTGGGCACCAAGGGGGTGCAGAGGCGTTCTCCTGGATTTGAGTCCTGGCTTTAGGGTCTGGTGGGTGGAGCAGGGACTGGGGGGCCTGGGAGCTCCTCCCGGCTAGGGGGCACTGACCTCCTCCAGTGTGGGGGGAGGCCTGGGGCTGGGGGGCTGGGCTCTGTCCATCCGCCAGGACAAGGCCCCAGC